CTTTAAACTTTGTTTTCACATTATGTTCTCTATATGTACCAACATCTTCCACTCTTCACATTCCTGACCTTCTAGCACTATATGACCAGCTCCCCCAAGCCCTGTATCATTATGGGAGATCTTATTGGGCATAATCCGCTTTGGGGTAGTGATGCTACAATGTATTCCCAAGTCCTCTGCCAGTCCACACATCCGTAAACCATGGTTTAATGACGCTTGCAAACAAGCTAGGAAAGCACGGAAGAAAGCTGAAAAGTATTTCCGTCACCATGCTATGGCACATAATTCAGATAAGTTCAAAATCGTAAATGCTAAAGCGTGGCGTACATTTAAGCAAAATAAACGCATGTCTTGGCAAGCTTTCGTTTCAAAAATAAATTCACGTACGCCCATGTCAAAGGTATGGAACATGATTAAAAAAATCAAAGGTAAGGGATCTAAATCTGGTATCTTCAAAATTGGAATGAATTATTAACTGTTTAAACAGATATTGATTATAAACTGGGTGAAACTTTGGCTGAACATTCTTCCTCATCCAATTATGTACCTCAATTCCAACAAGAGTTTGCCACTAACGTGGCTTTATCCCCCGCCCCTTTTGCAGAATTTATGACATAATTAAATCTACACAAACACTAAACTGTTTTAACCGAGGTGGAACTTGTCATGGAAATTGTAAAAAAAAAATGCTTGGAACCTAGGTCCATCTTGTTGCTATGGAAACGTAAAAAAATAAAAAATTCTAAAATGTCTAAATAGCAAATGGCACCAGTTCAGCATGTACCTGACAGACCTGCAAAGTTTGATGACAAAATATTGAACGGTTCATGAGTTATGCTCCGGAAACGAATCCTACCCTCACAGAACCTAAGTCCATCTTGTTGCCATGGAAACGTAAAAAAATTAAATTTCTAAAATTTCTAAATAGCAAAAGGCACCAGTTCAGCATGTACTTGACAGACCTGCAAAGTTTCATGAAAAAATATTGAACGGTTTCTGAGTTATGCTCCGGAAACGAAACGGGACGGACGGATATATTCTTTTTGGGATGTAAATACCAAAACCAGCAGGAAAAGATACCTATTAATTTTCATTCAGATAATAGGGAAGATTATAATGAAATAGTCTCTATTCATGAACCAGATACTGCACTCGGACAAAGATACTGCTATTGCAGCTGATAACATACATTATCAACTCCTGAGCACTTACCAGAAGTGTTTACAATCACTGTTAAATAGTTTTGATGAAATTGAGACGTTAGGACGATTTCCCCCTTCGACCAATCTCACTGACAAGCTGCGTTTACAAAACCACGGAACGTATGATAAATAATCGTCCAGTTTGGTACCTGGAATCCAATAATCCAATTACTAATATACAATGTGGTTTCCGCAAGAACAGAAGTACTATCGATCATTTAGCATGTATAGAATCATATGTAAAAAATTCCATAATAAACAAACAACATGCAGTGTCTATCTTTTTTGATCTCGAAAAAGCATATGACACTACACATGGAAACATGGTATTTCAAGAGATTTACATAACTTTTTAACAGACAGACAATTTCAAGCGTGGGTTCCACCCTGTCTGATCATTATAATCAGGATCTGGATATCCCACAAGGCAGTATTTTGTCTCTCACATTATTCAGCATAAAGATAAATAGTATATCAAAAGTTTCAACTGATTCGATTGACGGATCACTTTATGTGGATGATTTTAACATTTCCTGTCAAGGTAAAAATTTGCATACTGTTGAATTCAACTTCAATTATGTTTAAATAAAATTCACAAATTGTCTCTTGAAAATGTTTTTAAGTTTTCAAAAGCCAAGACAAACTGCATTCATGCTTGTAGAAAGTATAAGCCGCATATGAACCCTGATTTAGTTTTGGACGTTGTCCTATCAAAGTTGTAAAAGAGGCCAAATTTCATATGACCTTACTGCCACACGTAAAATATTTAAAGACTAAATGCCTGAAAGCATTGGATTTATTGAAAGTAGTTTCAAATTCTCAATGGGGAGGGGATTAGAAAACCCTCCTCCAACTGTACAGAGCGCTTATCCGCCCTAAAATTGATTGTGGCTCCATTATCTATGGTGGAGCATGCAAAAGCAATTTATGAAAAAAATGATTCTATTCATCATCAGGGCCTCAGGCTTTGCCTTGGAGCCTTTAGAACGTATCCAGTTTATAGCCTTATCTAGAGGCTGATGAACCATCATTTAAACAACGTCACATTAAGTTATCTTTACAGTACATTTCTAAATTGCATTCCAATAACTCCAATCCAGCCTTTGGTTGTGTTTTCAATCCCCTCTATTAAGAACTCTACAATTAAAAAATCATTTCTTACTCCACCCCTTGGAATCAGAATAAAACCTCATATTTCTGCTGCTAAAATAAATCTCGTAAATATAGCCCCCACAGAACGGCCGAATCCAAGGCCATGTGAACAGCATTAGAGTACATAAATAAACAATCCAAACATAAGCAATATATTAGATATATATTAAATATATTGTTAGACTCACTTTCTTGTCTTCAGACAATTTAAGATCAATCGTGTAAACATCTACTTTTAATTGAAATTATTGAATTATTAAATGTTCTTGCTACTGGCAAATGCGTCATCGTTTTTTGTTGGTTACCCAGCCATGTTGGTAGCATTGGTAACACAATGGCCGATGCTGCAGCTAAAACGGCACTCAACAAATCTGTGACACCACTTTAAATCCCATACAGCGATTATAAACCTGTGATCAGATGTTACACCCAAATCTGATGCAAAAGAAGTGGGACACCCAGGTAGGTATAAATAAATTACATGAAATTGAACCAATTATTACACTTACTTGGGTTGTCAGTCCAGATTTGAAGAGGTCATAATTCGACGATGTTGTATTGGCAATTCACGCTACACTCATGAATATTTATTGACAGGTGAAGATCCTCTGCAGTATTGTTATGAAAGAATCAGGGTTTGCAAAATTTTGATTAATAATATTTTTTGGAAGATTAAATTAACACCTGCGATTGTTAGTGGCTGTATCCTTGAAGGCGGTTAAAGAACAGTAAAAGTATTCTTCCCCTGAGAGGTTACATAAGTTCCACTTCTTTTAAAGTAAATTTAGAGTCATCACATTTTAAATCGTAGTATATTTGTTAGTTTTAACTGGTGGTTGATATTGGCTACAATCGACAGCGACTGAAGGGATGGTGTAAATCCTGCTGGGGAGCCGTGCAAGCAGCAGAAGTATTGAAAGTCCCCACGGTCCCTAGTGTGGTGTCCTTACTTTGGTTGCTGGCGATCTATAAGCCGTTTTTATTTTGTGTTATTGAATTGTAGTTTATTCTTTAATATGCTCTCAAACTAGTTTTAACTAAAATCTGTGATATTTTAGTTATTGTACTGTCCTTTGTCGACAGGTATTTGACTAGTATGAATATCATTGTTATCGAATGTCTGACTTCATCTCGTCATGATATGGCTGTGATATTGCCTTATGACGTTAAATCTTAACTCATTCACTCAAAGACCTGAAATTGTTGAATTGTTAAATGATCTTGCTACTGGCAACGCGACATCGTTTTCTGTTGGTTACCCAGCCATGTTGGAATCACTGGGAACGCAATGGGCGATGCTGCTGCAAAATAAACACTCGACAAATCTGTGACCCAACTGCTTATCCCATACAGCGATGTCCAACCTCTCATCCGAGGTCTGTTGCAAAAGACGTGGGACACCCAAGCAGGCATCAAAACGTTACATGAAATTAAACTAAATATTGGTTACACCTACTTGGACTGTCAGTCCAGATTTGAAGACGTCATAATGCGACGATGTCGCACTGGCCAGAGCAGATATACACATGAATATTTATTGAAAGGTGAGGAACCTCCATTTTGTACCCCTTGTGATGAGATGTCCTGCTTGACTGTATTATTTTGCCATCACAAGGGATAAATATTGTAGATCATCATCTCTCAAGGATCGTTTTACATAAGTCAGCATTGATTTAATTTGTAAAGACTAAACTAAAAACTTTTTAATATTGGTAGAATACATTTGATAACCAAGGTTGTCAGAAGAAATGTAAAACGATTGTCTCCCAGAGATGGTACCTAAGACAACGTCATTCAAATTATATTTATTACTGCCACAGTTTTAATTGCAGAATATGTGTTCTTTTAATTCGGCTAAATTTATCACTTATCGCCAACACCTGAAGCTATCCTGCTTGTGTCCATGCAGGTAGCAAGAGTACTTTAACTCCCCATGATCCCTAGTGAGGGGATCTACCATCAGTTGCTGGCGATCTATAGCCTATTTTATATCGTATCGTTACAAATGGTGAAATATTTTTATGGTTATAGTTTTAGATAATGATCTGTGATGTTCTAGTTATCCTACTGTCCTTCGTTGACAGGCTTTTATTGTTTAAGTGTATGTATTGTGTATAACGTTTGTTAGTCACGATATGGCTGAAATACTGCCGATGTGACTTATAAGTATTGTGGTGTAATATTTTCAAGTCATTAGCATTGAACCGACATATGTGTAATGGCGCCACCCAAGCTAAAAGGATATTATTGGGAATTTTACAAACGTTTGAACATCTTAGCAGTTGTGCTTATAAATCTTTCATCTGATGTAAATATGAGAACATGCAGAATAACATTTGTACAATTGGGATGCAGCATCGAAGATGAATTTCACGTTTGCATGTAAGTTGTAAAAATATGATAATTTAAGGAAAAAATATTTTGACAAAATACTATGTACATCCAAATAAAAGCAAAGTTTATATGTCACATGTGAGCAAAGCTACGAAACGAAATCTATGTCGATATATATATCATGCCATGTTATTAAGAAATGAATTCTTGTAACATTTTAACTGCTTTCACATTGTTGTGTATTCTGTACTACGGGCCTATGTTATATGTGAATAACTGAATCGATACTCAACCATGGCATAACAACAAACATATGTGACATCATATTTATTTCATCAACAACATATATGTACATAGATATTGACAGTAGCGGGAACTTCAGTATAAAACAGACACCATATGGCTCCTTTACACCTGAAAAAATAAAACATTATATGTTACTCACTATTGGCATTCTAGAAGTTGATGAGTACAAAAGGGTACAGCTTTTGGGATAACACCTTCTGGTTAATTACAGCTTGATAACGCTGCAAGAATCAACATTTAAATGTCACAAAAGGCAATTAACCAGAACTTAAGTTGTACGTTAAATTATCGTCGTTTAAGTTTTTACCGATGTATATGTTTTGATGCCCACTACTACTAAACATGTTCCAAATTGCATTGTACATGCTGAACGAAAATGACAGGAATGGCCATGCATGTGTATGGGGGCTCTGTTGATTTTCCCTGAACAAATTAGGATGACAATCAATTGTGAGATTAAGCATAAAAAGTTGAGAAGATGTTTACAGTCAAATAGGATGTGCAGTTTCAGAGGCATTGGGGGAAAGGTCAAAGTATTAAGATAAATCAAGTTCCAAATATATATTGGATACACTGGATGCTCAGTTTTATTATCGTCCTTTTTCAAAACCAAATTTCGTGTTTTCAAACAGGACACAAAGGTACCATGTCTCTAAATACAAGCCCAATGAATATTTAAATAGAGGGTCCAAAGTCATCCCTGGACTGAATCTGGGATTCAAACAACCTTCCATCACATATAGAACATTTGGATTTGTGGCGCCTAGGATGATTGAATAAGGCCATAAACAATGATGGAAGATATCGAGAAATATATACGATAAGTCGTTAACACGAGAGGACAAAACGAAATACTAATATGTGGAATGTATCCGCATCAATCTCAACTCACAACACAACACGTTAGTCCAGAACCAACAGGACAAGCTGCAGCAATCGCGAAAGCAGGAGCACAGACAGTCCTACAGTTCAAGCCACTAGTAGTGCACGGAGCTGAAAAAAATAATGAATGATACGTAGTGACGTAGACATTTATTCCCTGTGGGCCTGGTGTAAACGACCCGGTGTAAAAGGTCCATGTACCTAACGATCGAGGACAATGGTTCCCAGCTTTTTTACAACAGAGTGAATGTTCTCACTTTTACAGCAGGCTTCGGAATTGATATCGTCCCGAAGGGGCGAGGTGAATCAACAGAGTCGAATGATTTATCCAATAGTGAATAGTTCATATTACTGATCTGTCTTTGCGAATCCAGCAATCCACCTGGATGAAGGGATACTGCAGTACTCGCTGTATTCCGTGGCAAAAAAATATGAATTCATAATTCTGCACACAATTCTGCCAAGGTTTTAGCTCAGTTTTCGCGTATTAGGTTTTGCACCTGTTTGACTTGTGGCTGGAATTTTGATGATAAACGTATCCACGTCTAGAATACAAAAGCCAGCTTCATTTCAAATCGAACTCAGGAATTAGATTCCATTTAACCAAATCTTGAAATGTAAAATGTTCAAAAAATCGTTTATAATTTGTTTTTGCTTTTTCCCACATAACGCAAACACCTCAAATAATTATTTTGAATGACTTAATTAATACAACGGTCAATTCAAATATGTTTCAGTAAACCTATGCAACTTTTACACGTGTAAAATCAGCTTTGCTGTGTATGGCGGACGCATCTGCGGCAAATACATACACATGCTGCACGAGTTCTGTCATAAAAGTAATTTTCTGCAAATTAAATTATCTGCACCGACTGGCATTTCTGCAAAATATTCTGCTATCACGGAATAGCGCAGGAACTGATATTGGCGACGTTATTGACAATATCAGTCACATTGATCAAACTTTTCAGACTTACATGCGGCTATAGTTGTAGGAGCCATAGTTGTAGCGGTTACCACGGGATCCTAAATTGGTAAAGAAACGTTGTGTCAATAACAGTGTAATTTTGAATGTCTATCTATTTTATGCACCCAGAAAGAATAAGGAGGCACTTGGTTTTTATATGTTTATCTATCTATCTATCTATCTCGTTTATGCAATTCACATGTAACATGCACCATCAGGTGCACAGTTAAGTCCATACACTAGAGCTGAATGCCGTATTACTTACACAAAAATACATAAACAACATTCATGGCTATTCGTGAAAATTATTCGCGTAGCAGCAAGGAGTTTGGATAGTGTGTATTGAATGTGATAAATCATACTTACTACACAGCACACGGTACCGGCCATCGGACAGGACACGGTAGGGATGGTAGCCCCAGGACACTGAGCAAGAGGAACACAGGCGATACTTCCTTGTCCGACAGGGCACACTAGAAATTATAAGTTGACATGTATGTTTCTACTAAAGGTCGCCTTGAGTGAAGTGATGGTTAGGATTAAACTTAAAATCATTCAGTCTTTCGAAATGATAAAAGCCATATCACCGCCGACCCTACAACTGTGCTTCTTTGTTTGCCTTTACGCTAAATGGAATCTGTTTTGGTGGATAATCAAGATTCTTTGGCTTTGACGTTTCATATTTATGGTGCATTCAGACATTTTTCATCCTCATAGCTATCGTGGATGTGGTCGAGTCGGGCACAAACAAAGAAGTCATTGATATTTTGAAGACATATAAAATTGCAATTTTTCTCACTTTGTGCAGGTGTCGTTGTAGCCATAGTTGTGGGTGCCGTTGTCAATGGAGCCTAAATAGCAAAATGAAATCGTTTTATCCGACATTTGTTACATAATGTTTTGAACATACAATTCACACATTCCCACAGAAAATATATATCACAATGACAAATAACATAAAACGACACTGAAACGTTACTAGAATTATCGAAATAAGCGACTCACAACTTGTGTTGTACATTAAGCATGCTCTTTACGAAGATTTTAAAGGGCGTCATACGTCCCTTGCTCAAAAGTTGTTTGATCAAAGTTACAACATATAAGGCCTGAGTAGATCTTATTTTGACATGTACAGTATGTGCCCGTGCTTTTGCATGTAAACAATTGACTTGGCTTTACATGTGCTTGTGACGGGTACCACCGGTTTTGCAGGCTACGCTCACTTTTTCGCAAATACCTGGTATCATCAGTATGTGATAGTGATTCAAAAAACACATGCCAGTGACACAGTCGTAATCGTGCAATCGACTAAGCTTTAAGCAGAAATTCTTCTGGCTATGGAATGGGTTTAGTTGCCTTTTTATACCAACTTCTACGAGGTCATGAAATGACTGACGAAATGAGATAGTGTGTATTGCGTGGGATAAATCTTCCTTACCACACAGCACACGTTACCGGCAATCGGGCAGGACACGGAAGGGATGTTAACCCCAGGACACTGAGCAGGAGCAACACAGGCGATACTTCCTTGTCCGACAGGGCACACTAGAAATTATAAGTTGACATGTATGTTTCTACTAAAGGTCGCCTTGAGTGTAGTGATGGTTAGGATTAAACTTAAAATCATTCAGTCTTTCGAAATGAAAAAATCCATATCACCGCAGATCCTACAGCTGTGCTTCTTTGTTTGCCTTTACGCTAAATGGAATCTGTTTTGTTGGATAACCAAGACTTGAGATTCTTTGGCTTTGACATTTTATATTTACGTTGAATACAGAAATAGTTCGTTTTCACAGCTATCGGTGATGTGGTCGAGTCAGGCACAGACAAAGAAGTCGTTGATTTTTTTAAGAAATATAAAATTGCAATTTTTCTCACTTTGTGCAGGTGTCGTTGTAGCCATAGTTGTGGGTGCCGTTGTCAATGGAGCCTAAATAGCAAAATGAAATCGTTTTATCCGACATTTGTTACATAATGTTTTAAACATACAATTCACACATTCCCACAGAAAATATATATCACAATGACAAATAACATAAAACAACACTGAAACGTTACTAGAATTATCGAATTAAGCGACTCACAACTTGTGTTGTACATTAAGCATGCTCTTTACGAAGATTTTAAAGGGCGTCATACGTCCCTTGCTCAAAAGTTGTTTGATCAAAGTTACAACATATAAGGCCTCAGTAGATCTTATTTTGACATGTACAGTATGTGCCCGTGCTTTTGCATGTAAACAATTGACTTGGCTTTACATGTGCTTGTGACGGGTACCACCGGTTTGGCAGGCTACGCTCACTTTTTCGCAAATACCTGGTATCATCAGTATGTGATAGTGATTCAAAAAACACATGCCAGTGACACAGTCGTAATCGTGCAATCGACTAAGCTTTAAGCAGAAATTCTTCTGGCTATGGAATGGGTTTAGTTGCCTTTTTATACCAACTTCTACGAGGTAATGAAGTGACTGACGAAATGAGATAGTGTGTATTGCGTGGGATAAATCTTCCTTACCACGCAGCACACGTTACCGGCTATCGGGCAGGACACGGAAGGGATGTTAACCCCAGGACACTGAGCAGGAGCAACACAGGCGATACTTCCTTGTCCGACAGGGCACACTAGAAATTATAAGTTGACATGTATGTTTCTACTAAAGGTCGCCTTGAGTGTAGTGATGGTTAGGATTAAACTTAAAATCATTCAGTCTTTCGAAATGAAAAAATCCATATCACCGCAGATCCTACAGCTGTGCTTCTTTGTTTGCCTTTACGCTAAATGGAATCTGTTTTGGTGGATAACCAAGACTTGAGATTCTTTGGCTTTGACATTTTATATTTACGTTGAATACAGAAATAGTTCGTTTTCACAGCTATCGGTGATGTGGTCGAGTCAGGCACAGACAAAGAAGTCGTTGATTTTTTGAAGAAATATAAAATTGCAATTTTTCTCACTTTGTGCAGGTGTCGTTGTAGCCATAGTTGTGGGTGCCGTTGTCAATGGAGCCTAAATAGCAAAATGAAATCGTTTTATCCGACATTTGTTACATAATGTTTTGAACATACAATTCACACATTCCCACAGAAAATATATATCACAATGACAAATAACATAAAACGACACTGAAACGTTACTAGAATTATCGAAATAAGCGACTCACAACTTGTGTTGTACATTAAGCATGCTCTTTACGAAGATTTTAAAGGGCGTCATACGTCCCTTGCTCAAAAGTTGTTAGATCAAAGTTACAACATATAAGGCCTCAGTAGATCTTATTTTGACATGTACAGTATGTGCCCGTGCTTTTGCATGTAAACAATTGACTTGGCTTTACATGTGCTTGTGACGGGTACCACCGGTTTGGCAGGCTACGCTCACTTTTTCGCAAATACCTGGTATCATCAGTATGTGATAGTGATTCAAAAAACACATGCCAGTGACACAGTCGTAATCGTGCAATCGACTAAGCTTTAAGCAGAAATTCTTCTGGCTATGGAATGGGTTTAGTTGCCTTTTTATACCAACTTCTACGAGGTCATGAAATGACTGACGAAATGAGATAGTGTGTATTGCGTGGGATAAATCTTCCTTACCACACAGCACACGTTACCGGCAATCGGGCAGGACACGGAAGGGATGTTAACCCCAGGACACTGAGCAGGAGCAACACAGGCGATACTTCCTTGTCCGACAGGGCACACTAGAAATTATAAGTTGACATGTATGTTTCTACTAAAGGTCGCCTTGAGTGTAGTGATGGTTAGGATTAAACTTAAAATCATTCAGTCTTTCGAAATGAAAAAATCCATATCACCGCAGATCCTACAGCTGTGCTTCTTTGTTTGCCTTTACGCTAAATGGAATCTGTTTTGTTGGATAACCAAGACTTGAGATTCTTTGGCTTTGACATTTTATATTTACGTTGAATACAGAAATAGTTCGTTTTCACAGCTATCGGTGATGTGGTCGAGTCAGGCACAGACAAAGAAGTCGTTGATTTTTTGAAGAAATATAAAATTGCAATTTTTCTCACTTTGTGCAGGTGTCGTTGTAGCCATAGTTGTGGGTGCCGTTGTCAATGGAGCCTAAATAGCAAAATGAAATCGTTTTATCCGACATTTGTTACATAATGTTTTAAACATACAATTCACACATTCCCACAGAAAATATATATCACAATGACAAATAACATAAAACAACACTGAAACGTTACTAGAATTATCGAATTAAGCGACTCACAACTTGTGTTGTACATTAAGCATGCTCTTTACGAAGATTTTAAAGGGCGTCATACGTCCCTTGCTCAAAAGTTGTTTGATCAAAGTTACAACATATAAGGCCTGAGTAGATCTTATTTTGACATGTACAGTATGTGCCCGTGCTTTTGCATGTAAACAATTGACTTGGCTTTACATGTGCTTGTGACGGGTACCACCGGTTTGGCAGGCTACGCTCACTTTTTCGCAAATACCTGGTATCATCAGTATGTGATAGTGATTCAAAAAACACATGCCAGTGACACAGTCGTAATCGTGCAATCGACTAAGCTTTAAGCAGAAATTCTTCTGGCTATGGAATGGGTTTAGTTGCCTTTTTATACCAACTTCTACGAGGTAATGAAGTGACTGACGAAATGAGATAGTGTGTATTGCGTGGGATAAATCTTCCTTACCACGCAGCACACGTTACCGGCTATCGGGCAGGACACGGAAGGGATGTTAACCCCAGGACACTGAGCAGGAGCAACACAGGCGATACTTCCTTGTCCGACAGGGCACACTAGAAATTATAAGTTGACATGTATGTTTCTACTAAAGGTCGCCTTGAGTGTAGTGATGGTTAGGATTAAACTTAAAATCATTCAGTCTTTCGAAATGAAAAAATCCATATCACCGCAGATCCTACAGCTGTGCTTCTTTGTTTGCCTTTACGCTAAATGGAATCTGTTTTGGTGGATAACCAAGACTTGAGATTCTTTGGCTTTGACATTTTATATTTACGTTGAATACAGAAATAGTTCGTTTTCACAGCTATCGGTGATGTGGTCGAGTCAGGCACAGACAAAGAAGTCGTTGATTTTTTGAAGAAATATAAAATTGCAATTTTTCTCACTTTGTGCAGGTGTCGTTGTAGCCATAGTTGTGGGTGCCGTTGTCAATGGAGCCTAAATAGCAAAATGAAATCGTTTTATCCGACATTTGTTACATAATGTTTTAAACATACAATTCACACATTCCCACAGAAAATATATATCACAATGACAAATAACATAAAACAACACTGAAACGTTACTAGAATTATCGAATTAAGCGACTCACAACTTGTGTTGTACATTAAGCATGCTCTTTACGAAGATTTTAAAGGGCGTCATACGTCCCTTGCTCAAAAGTTGTTTGATCAAAGTTACAACATATAAGGCCTGAGTAGATCTTATTTTGACATGTACAGTATGTGCCCGTGCTTTTGCATGTAAACAATTGACTTGGCTTTACATGTGCTTGTGACGGGTACCACCGGTTTGGCAGGCTACGCTCACTTTTTCGCAAATACCTGGTATCATCAGTATGTGATAGTGATTCAAAAAACACATGCCAGTGACACAGTCGTAATCGTGCAATCGACTAAGCTTTAAGCAGAAATTCTTCTGGCTATGGAATGGGTTTAGTTGCCTTTTTATACCAACTTCTACGAGGTAATGAAGTGACTGACGAAATGAGATAGTGTGTATTGCGTGGGATAAATCTTCCTTACCACGCAGCACACGTTACCGGCTATCGGGCAGGACACGGAAGGGATGTTAACCCCAGGACACTGAGCAGGAGCAACACAGGCGATACTTCCTTGTCCGACAGGGCACACTAGAAATTATAAGTTGACATGTATGTTTCTACTAAAGGTCGCCTTGAGTGTAGTGATGGTTAGGATTAAACTTAAAATCATTCAGTCTTTCGAAATGAAAAAATCCATATCACCGCAGATCCTACAGCTGTGCTTCTTTGTTTGCCTTTACGCTAAATGGAATCTGTTTTGGTGGATAACCAAGACTTGAGATTCTTTGGCTTTGACATTTTATATTTACGTTGAATACAGAAATAGTTCGTTTTCACAGCTATCGGTGATGTGGTCGAGTCAGGCACAGACAAAGAAGTCGTTGATTTTTTGAAGAAATATAAAATTGCAATTTTTCTCACTTTGTGCAGGTGTCGTTGTAGCCATAGTTGTGGGTGCCGTTGTCAATGGAGCCTAAATAGCAAAATGAAATCGTTTTATCCGACATTTGTTACATAATGTTTTGAACATACAATTCACACATTCCCACAGAAAATATATATCACAATGACAAATAACATAAAACGACACTGAAACGTTACTAGAATTATCGAATTAAGCGACTCACAACTTGTGTTGTACATTAAGCATGCTCTTTACGAAGATTTCAAAGGGCGTCATACGTCCCTTGCTCAAAAGTTGACTAAGCTTTTAGCAGAAATTCTTCTGGCTATGGAATGGGTTTAGTTGCCTTTTATGCCAACTTCTACGAGGTCATGAAGTGTGTATTGCGTGGAATAAATCTTCCTTACCACACAGCACACGGCACCGGCCACCGGGCAGGACACAGAAGGGATGTTAACCCCAGGACACTGAGCAGGAGCAACACAGGCGATACTTCCTTGTCCGACAGGGCACACTAGAGAATAAAAGTTGCCATGTATGTTTCTACTAAATGTGTACATTTGTAACGATGGTTGTGATTAAAGTGTCGGTCATTCGGTTTCTCAAAATAATAAAAGCCATGTCGCCGCCGTCCATTAGGTGTTGTTTTTTTCACGTTGCATTCAGATATATTTCATCCTTACATCTATCATGGATGTCGGGAATGGACTAACCAGTTGTTATCATGAATAAATGTAAAATACAATCTTTTCTCACTTGGTGCAGGTGTGGTTGGTGCCATGGTTGTGGTTGCCATTGTCAATGGAGCCTAAATAGCAAAATAAAATCGTTTTTATCCGACAGTTGATACATAAATGTTTTGAATATACAATTCCTACTTTCCCACAGAAAGTATATATCCCAATGACAAATAACACAAATCGACACTGAAATGTTACCAGAATTATCACATTGAGTGATTCACAACTTGTGTGGTACAATCGAACATGCTCTTTACGAAGATTTCAAAGAGCATCATACGACGCTTGCTCAATAGTTACAACATTCAAGGTCTGAGTAGGTCTTTCAAAAAGTATTATGGTAGACGTGTGGTAAACGTTTCCAAATAATTTCTGATGAAATTCCTTATCTTGACTTGTACCATGTTCCCATGTTTTTCAGGTGAACAATTGATTTGGCTTTTCGTAGTTTTGTGACGGGTACAACCGATAAGCCAGGATACGCCGCTCTTTTCCGCGAACACCTGGTATCATCACTATTTGATAGTGGTTCATAGACACATTCCTATGACGCAGTTCGAATCGTGCAATCGACTCAGCTTTTGGCAGAAACATCTTGTGGCTTTGGAATGAGTTTTGTTGTATTTTTATGTCAACTTCAGAGATGACATGAAATGACTGACGAATGGAAAAGTGTGTATTGCCTGGGAGAAATCTTCCTTACCACACAGCACACGGTACCGGCTATCGGGCAGGACACTGAAGGAATGGAAGCCCCAGGACACTGAGCAGGAGCAACACAGGCGATACTTCCTTGTCCGACTGGGCAAGCTGAAATTGAAGAATGGAAATTATCATAACAATTTATGGCAGTCAAATGTGTACCATGAAATGTGTACTTTTATGGTAAAAGCTGAACGCCTTTAATGTCACGGTAGACCGAAAACAGCACATGTGGACTCTAAAAGTCCAAAAAGGTTGTTTATACAATTAACTGTAAAACGTAGGTCCTACAATCCACATGTAACACCTCTCAGTAGGTGTCGCTTGAAAGTAGAACCTCTCATAAGGTTATTTTGAGATAGCAAGAGACCTGCAATACCGCATGCTAATCCAGAAGGCTTGTCAAACATTGTCCCTTTTATTTTAACTGTAAAGAACGGTGAAGATCCGTGCTAGAATTCGTCTTCAGCGACTAACGGGATCTGGTTGTCAGGCTTGCTGACTTGGTTGATGCATGTAATCGTATCCAAATTACGATGCTCGTGATGTCAATCAGTGGATTATTTACAGACTGCCGTCATATAGCTGGAATATTGTTGAGTGCGGCGTTAAACAACAAACTATGAAACAAATATAAAATACAGCTAGTCTTACGTTGCGGTGCTGCAGTCGTAGTCGGAGCTGGGGTTGGAATTGGTGACTGAATACAAACGAAAAACACATTTTATGACATTTACGGTTGTCGAATCCACCTACAAAACCTTTTGATTAAAAAATTTAAATCGCAGGATTGCCTGGTCCAAAATCGATTATAGTCCGCCGTAATATGGTTGGAATATTTCTCAGTGCGGTGTTAAATACGTAACCAACAATGTTCTGAATTTGTGATTTGTGAATACTCTCTAGACAGAAATGTGGACGGGATTATACGAGCAAGCGTCAAACGCATTTTGCGAAACCAATGTCAGAATTCATGCATTTCCCGAACGAGAGCGAGTGTAAAACATGTATTCTCACACGAAGTTCGTCAAATCAGTATGACACACATGCGAGTGTAACAATTTATGTATTACCCTCCATTCTTAATCCTTTTGAGATTCCCTTTAGAAAAAAATGCACTGATCACGAGCGCCGTCTTAGAAAGCCACAATTGTCGAACAACGGCAACAATCTTCAGCTAGTGTGGTGTTCTTCCAACCATACCTCGATTCGAATGACGTCAACAATGTCGTCCCGATGATGTTAACATTACACTGGTGCGCGTAAAATGATATTTGCACAAATGCAGATAAGATAAAAATTATGAACTCGGTTATTTCAAAGCCTATATGGGTAAAAAGTATAAATAAGGCTCAGCTACAATATCTTCCATTGTGATGGAGTCTGTCTGAAAGCATATATTACTGACATGACCTACTGCACTTCACACTTTTCAAAATACAGTTGTAAAATGGGTAGTGAAATGTTTCTCGGGACAACACAGTTGAGTTGTTATTGTGTGTTCCAGAAGTACAAAGCTACAAACGATGGGAAGACGACTGGCGTTAAACTATACCCGATGGCTCTGTATATAGGTTCCTCCTTATTCTTAGAACTAGAAAATCATAGATATGTGAAACTTACTGCGCAGCACACAGTATTGCCCATACAGGCAAAGGAATCCAGAACAAAGGTGCATGCAGCTGCAGTAACACAGGCAATAGTTCCCTGTCCTACCGGGCACACTGAAAGAAAGAGCAGTGATTGAACATGGTCCTACAAAACTTTCATAAATAGTTCAGCCATATCATGATGGGACCCTCTCACATTGCACCCATGTGTTGAATCGAACCTGTTCTTAGGCGTGCATTGATGTTGATGGACACTGCCACTTTGAACACTATTTCAGTTCTTTCACGTGTCAGTTTGATGCGTTAGGAAAGCACCAAGTGATGAACGTCTTATACGTTTTCCACTTTGGCGAAACCCACGATCAAAGGAATTGTGCTGACAAACCAAGGCGATCAGGGCGAATTTTGGATTCGACCCAAGACCATAGATTTCTGGCATGCCTCAGAGTCACAACTCTGCACAGCCACCCATGTGACCAACATATATTTATCACGACCTTGACATTCAAGCGCCATTTTATTTTCACCGTGCCTCAGCTAGGGCGCAAGTCTACATCCATACATTTTCAGTCAGACATATACATTTGTTGATGAACCATTATACTTTCAGGCAATATGTACAAAATGAATATTTACTGCCTAGGCTTGTGGTCGCTGCGATCGTAGTCGTTGTGGTGGCCATGGTAGTTGTGACCGGGGCAGCCGTTGATCCTGAAAAAGGGTGAGTAAGTGGGGTAAGAAATTGACAGTAGAAGTATGAACAGCAATTTCCAAACGTTATGTAAGCGTTAAAACACGACTCCGAGAAATGCAAACCCTCGAGCGAGGGAAAAGCAACTACTTATACTCAACAACAAAAGTTCCTGTAACACCAATATTTTAGTGTATTTTTCAAACAAGTAAAATTTGGTTTTCAATATTGTAGTACATGTATAGAATCAAGTCACAAAAACGCAACTGCTACAGAAAAGCATGCATTCCATGCAAAACTTGACTTTGATGCAAGCCCCATGCATTTCACTACCCAAGAATGGATATAAAAACGTGTGCGTTAACGGGATTCCACATGCATTGTTGAGCATCATGCTGACAACAACCACTCAGAAAAACAACAAAAGTACGCAATTATTCAACATTACGAAATGCCACGCCTGTCCGAAAATGAGCGTCTGCGAGCCATTGGTATGCTTGAAGCAGGATCGAGTCAACGTGATGTTGCAAGACAATTTAACGTCCACAGAAACACCATTTGGTGTTTATGGCAACGTTGGCATCAGACGAATGCAGTCAGAGACCATCCTCGGAGTGGCAGGCCACGCGTAACCAATCATCAACAAGATAACTGGATTCGAACAACACACCTACGAAATCCAACACTGGCTGGAAGAAGCATCCCCGGCCTTTGACGAATATCTTCACAAACCGTACGTCGTCGCCTCAGATGTGGAGGGATTGTCGCCAGAAGGCCAGCCAGACGTCCCATTTTGACATGAAACAACCGTCAAGCACGTCTACAGTGGTGCAGACAGCGTCTATGCTGGGCGGCCATGCATTTGGGGCAAGTTTTATTCACTGACGAGTCTCGTTTTCACCTCAGCCACAGCGATGGACGGATTCGAGTGTACCGACGTCGAGGTGAACGTTACGTCAATCATTGTGTCATGGAAGAAGATCGGATCGAGGGCGGCAGCGTTATATCCTCACAAACCGTACGTCGTCGCCTCAGATGTGCAGGGATTGTCACCAGAAGACCCGCCTCACGTCCAATTTTGACAGGAAACCACCGTGAAGCTATTAAGCACGTCTACAGTGGTGCAGACAGCGTCTACGCTGGACGGCAATGCAGTGGGGACAAGTTCTATTCACTGACGAGTCTCGTTTTCACCTCAGCCACAGCGATGGACGGATTCGAGTGTACCGACGTCGAGGTGAACGTTACGTCAATCATTGTGTCATGGAAGAAGATCGGTTCGGGGGCGTCAGCGTTACACTTCCCAAACCGTACGTCGTCGCCTCAGATGTGCAGGGATTATCGCCAGAAGACCCGCCAGACGCCCGATTTTGACAGGAAACCACCGTCAAGCACGTCACCATGGTGCATACAGCGTCTACGCTGGACGGCCATCACCTCAGCCACAGCGATGGACGGATTCGAGTGTACCGACGTCGAGGTGAACGTTACGTCAACCATTGTGTCGGTTCGGGGGCGACAGCGTTATGGTATTGGGTGGGATTACAGCAAGACAGAGGACCCGTTTGATAGTGGTTGAGGGAAATCATCGCGACGAGATCCTCAGCCCTGTTGTTCTACCGTTTTTGCGTCGTCATGGCCCAGGCATTACCTTTCAACATGACAACGCCCGGCCTCATATTGCTCGACTTGTTTAGGATTCTCTTCAACAATACAACGTGAATGTCATCCCCTGGCCGGCTCGCTCCTCTGATCTCTCACTAATCGAGCACATGTGGGATGAGATGGATTGGCGCCTTCGACGTCAACCACGTGTTCCACACACACAATCCAGGACTTTGTGCGACGCCTGGTCCATTCCATGAGACGAAGATGTGTTGCTTGCATCGCAACCAGAGGTGGACACACGCGCTTTTGATTTGTAAATTGACATTTTGGCATGTTCATGTTTTTTTATGAAAAATTAAACCATTTGAACACTTACAAGAGTCTTTTATCTGTTGCAAACCGAAATTGTTTTAGATTTGGTAAAAAACATAACTTTGCATTAAATCTTATTCAATGTCACAGGAACTTTTGTTGTTCAGTATATATCATCCATTTGGCAACAGCAAGTTACACATTCATAAAATGAATCATGCCATGTCAAACAGTAAGATAAATATCAAAGGTGAAGTTTAAAAAAACTATATGGACGTGTCAAATAAAGCTCCTAAAATATATGAAGTACAATTAGCACACCCAAAAACAATAACGACAACGAAGTTTCAGCATGTACTACGACTGCAAGGATCTATACGTCTCCTTTTCTGCACCGTGAGTATTGTGGAGAAAATAACTTTCTAAATGAGAAGACACTTTCAGGACTGTAGGTCAGATGGACACCTTTCGCGAAATTCTGGTTTCATCACTTTTCAGTTATCCATTCACATCATTTTCACCGCTATTTAGCCTTTTATGCGCAAGGGAATCTGGTTCTGTGTATAATCGAGACAAGTTATTCTCTGGCGTTGACGTTTTATATTTCCCATATGGTTCAAGATGGCATATCAACCAAGTTCCAATCCATATGGTGCAACGTGTCGTGTGACACATTACACATCTCTTATTTTCTCAAATCTTAACTAGCGCTGCCTGTTTCAACTAGGGACAGATCTTTTACTTTAATTATAGTTCTCTGTTTGCGTGTTTAAATTTTCACTGGATCACTGGATTTTCTTGTTCATCAGTCACTTGATTGTTCGGTTTGTTTAGAGGCGGCCGTCACTTGGCAGGAGTACTGCCGTGCGGCATTGTGTGAGAGGCGAGTGCTACCGGTGGGGCAGGTCATGTTAACCTTTTCACGAACACCTGGTGTCATCACTGATTTTCAGTGGTCCATTCATATACCGTTCATAGTTATTTTACCATTTACGCCAAATGGGATCTGTTTCGGTGGATACCCTAGACTGATTATTTATTCTCTTGCCTATGTGTGGTATTATTACCCTCGACCGTCGCCGTCAGGGTGCCATGACACACAAGCAACCAAGTAACCAAACATGACACCTGACCCATCCGGGTTACAATATGTCTTCAGCAACCACAACTTGTAGTAAGAAGCGACTAACGGGATCGGGTGGTCAGGATCCCTCAATCGATGCATGTCATGGTATCCCAATTGCGTGGATCTGTGCTCAATCACTGGATTGTCTGGTGCATCATTTACAGATAAAAAAGCTAAAAAGTGCTGAGTACGGAGTTAAACAGCAAACAAACAGCTTACAACAAGGCCTAACAAGCCCGAAACCTCAACGAGGGGATTCCTAACTGCACAAGCGGATCCTTGTGTTAGGAGTAAATGTAATTTTGAGAATGATTGTTCTTCGAAAGTGAAGAGCGTATATCATTTCCATTTTCAAGCAACAGGCACCTTTTTATGCAGATTGTCAGAGTCGCGAATTCTATAGGGAGGGCAGGACAATGTCCTTCTTTCCCTTTTCGCGAACACCTGGTGTCATCATTGACTTTCAGTGATCCATTCGTATAATTTTACGCCCAATGGAATCAGTTTTCGGTGTATATTCAAGAGAAGATTATTCTCTAACGTCGACGCTTTATATTGTAAGTAATAGAATAATAGATAATAGAACATACCTGTATTTTGTCTTTGTGCCAGGGCAAGTATTTGTCGTGCATACACACACAATGGAGTAGTATCCCCGGCGCATTGGTCGACTAGTAGTTGATAAGCGGCCAAGTCACGAGCCTCTACAACTTCGAGCAAGGCAAAGTCGGGGTAGCCTGGAATAAAGTTACAACGTGTCCACCTGCAGATTTCGGCCATGACGAAAAAGTTGGAACATGTCGTGATTAGAGTATCATTTAGACATATGCTCGAAGAAGCCGTTTCAATCGCATCACAGTTGCTGATGATAGCAGCTCTGAGTTCAGGTGCGGTAAGAACTTGTGCCCCCACAATGGGGAAGGCTAGGATAGTCAGCCAAAGGCCAAGGCTCAACATCCTTGTCTTGTCTGAAGTCACTGGCAATGCTACATACCATACTAGCTCGACTCGTATTTATATTGTACCCAAGGGGAATTCACTCTTTATCGTAAGCTTTTTTGTTCCACGTGAACACTCCCCTTGAAGCCATAAAGATAATCATTGCATTAAATGCTAAAGAGATAAGTAGCTATATCCTAAGGATGATAGGGAGTGGGGATAATATCAGTGTGACGGTAACGTTTGGGGATGGGGATGTGAGGCAATTATATGTTTTATTATAAAGTTGTTTTTAGATCGACTTTGGTAAAATATATTCACAAATAGTTATTTCGTTCAATATTAAACGTCAACAGCAGAGAATAACCAATTTTCGACTTAAACAAAATCCTTTGGACTTAAAAGGCAAAATAGCGGCGAAAATTGTCTGAATTGATCACTGAAAATTAGTGGTGACATTAGGTGTTGGCAAAAGAGTAAGGGTCGCGCACCCCCCGCAGCCCCACCTCTGTATCCGCCCATGGGTCGTGCCCTACCGGTTGCTCCCAAGACAGTCGGTATTCTGCTGTATAATATAGCTCAAATGTTTTTGTTTTTTTGCTTGTCTAATATTAGTCACACCGAGAAGACGTCACCGCAATCATCAATAGAAAAACACAAAATTGCAAGGTCTCTGACGTCCCTAAAACATGAAATACGCTCTTTTGTTCGTTCTGCTCGAACTGTATTATTTTCAGATTTTAGTAACCGCAGATATTTCTATAGCCAGTCGTGTTGTGCCATGCGTATGTAATAGTAGTGGCGGAAGGTTTTTTGTTGACAGTGGCACCATAATGGAAGCACCAGTAAAAGGTCCAGTTGAAGCAATTGCAGTTCGTAGTCACGCTTGATTTTTGTTTGTTTGTTGTTTAACGCCGCACTCAGCAATATTCCAGCTATAAGACGGCGGTGTGTAAATAATCGAGTCTGGACCAGACAGTCAAGCGATTTATATCATGAGCATCGATCCACGCTATTAGGATCGATGACATGCATCAAACAAGTCAGCGAGCCTGACCACCCGATCCCGTTAGTCGCTTCTTACGACAAACAAGTCGCCTTTTGCAGCAAGCATGTGTTGCTGACGACATATTCTACCCCGGATCTTCACGGGTCTATTCACAACCGGTAGTTCAAGAACATCGCAGGTGTGCCAATAATGCTGCAACATGTTTGACCCATTGTGATATCTCTCTTCAATGTAGACATAAACATGTATGTTTCAATATTACTGGTTGATTATTCATTGATCTTGTGTGGTCATTTACTGTTTTCACAACGATTGTATGTGTGTGTCTGTGTGTGTGTGTGTGTGTATGTGTGTGTGTGGGGGGGGGGGGATATGTGTGTTTTGGGTAGGGGGGGGGGGGGGGGAGTGGAGTCATAAACACACTGAGTGAGTGAGGGAGTTTGGTTTAACGCCGCTTTTAACAGTATTCCAGTTATATCACGGCGTGTCAGCTTAATGTGGGAGGAAAGCCCGAAGTGATGCAGGCCTCAGACGTTTACCACTTCGGTGAAACCCACGAGCACGGGTATGGTGCTGACAAACCTAGAAACATAATCGGGGCGAACCGGGATTCGAACCCAAAATCATAGGTTTCTGGCGTGCCTAAGGGACGCAACCCTGCACAGAGAATCGAGGCGCCTTAGACGACTGGGCCACCCGTGCCCCCAATAAACACAGAATCAAATGATCTTTCTTGTCCTATAGTTAAAGTTCAAGCACCTATGTGTCTAATCGTTCAAGTATGGACAGTTAACCAACATTATGTCCGCTTCCATGCATGTTGTGCCCTTTAGACAACTTTTAGTAAAACGACTGCAAGGCTAGATGCTATAATTTATACGAATTGTCTATCAGGTCATTAAAATAAGATGAGATATTTTGTCTCACGGATAAACTGTTATGGGTTAGTTGTTTTTTCTAGGCTCTTTTTTTGTTCATTATCGTACCCACGACAACCATTTTGCCAAGTAGGGGTTGCTTAGGATCTATTCTACCCCGGATCTTCACGGGTCAGAAAATAATACTGTTACAGTCATTGTTTAAAAATATATTACACTGTCAAATAACAAAAGGTCTTAAATATCTTTTTTTAGTTGTGGCCATATTGGATTTGGATTTGGATATATTTTTTTCTAATCAATTATATTTTCAACATCATATCTTGTTAGGTTCTTCACAGAACCTTTTGAAAGTTTCATCAAGTTATTTTGCTATATATACCTCATTTTTTGTTCTTAGTTGCATGTTAAAAGTAACACTGCTTGGTGTTTATATTTGGTTATATAGAAACCAAATGCGAGTGCAAATACTGAAGGAAGCGCCCTAGAAATCCACGATTAACCCCAATTCACTTGCTTTGCATAGACGCGAGCGCAATACACAGTATTGTTGCAAATATCTTCTGTATTATGTATACTACCCTTGAAGGTCAGGGTTACAATTAATCTTCAGCAACCCATGCTTGTCTTAAGAGGTAACTATGCTTGTCTAAGAGGCGGTTAACGTGATTGTGTGGTCAGACTCACTGACTTGGTTCTTCATTTCCCAATTGCCAATTGTTTCGGTACCTTACTTTCGACGGCGTTGTTAAAAGCAAACCATTTGAGGATTCGAACATAGTCGATGTCGGAAAGCAAAACTTTTGACGGCGTTGGTATAAGCAGATCCTTTGATGATTCGAACATGATCGGCTAGAAATGCGTTTTAGAACACCCTAGGACATATGCGATATGCCGCAAGCAGTGCCTTACTTTTAACGTCGTTGGTTCAAGCAAACCATTTGAGGATTCGAATATGGACGATTATTATTATTGTTGTTGTTGTTGTTGTTGTTGTTATTATTATTTACAGATTAAAATAAAAAATGCAGTAAAGAGGGTTTGGGTGATCCTGGCAGAATCAGGCTGGTTATGCTCATCATCAGCTCAGGGCCCTTGCCCCCTCTACAGTGAATGAGACTTCTCCAAGGAAGCGCTGCCTAGTCAAACCCACCCAGAACCTTTCGGAGAATGTGAAGACCCCCCAACACTGGAGCTTGTGCATTAACCAGATTGTCAGAAGGGCTGTATTCCTGGTAGCAAACCCGGGTACTCTTCCGATGTCAGTCAGCAGATTGGGAGGTACCAAACCATAAGGCACCGAGAACAATGGGGAGTCGGACAACTTGGTACTAGGGATGCAAGCGTGACATTTCGAAAGCGAGGTCTGCATATTTGCCAAGTTTTTCCTCAATCAGACAGAAAATTCAATGATACAAATGAATTCACTGTATTTATCAAAAAGGACAAGATCAGGTTTGCTGGCCTGGATATGTCTGAGGCTGTATACGGGCCTATTCCAAAGTGCTTTGTATTTATCATTTTCTATGACGCCCTCTACATATTCAGTTTCGTACCATGGATGGACCTCTGTGTCAAAACCACAAGCATGGCGAAGACGGTAATAAAATGATCAAGCCACCTCATCATGTCGCTTAAGATACTGTGTATGTGCCAAAGCTGGGCATCCACTCACTATGTGTTGGACAGTCTCATTAAAATTATTGCATAATCTACATTTCATATTCACATTTTGATGCAAAATCACACATTAACGGTTTCGAGTTGGGAGTGACTGGTCCTGAGCAGCAGACAGAAATCCTTCTGTTTCGCTTTTCAGGCCAGACGACTTCATCCAAGCGAAGGATCTTCTCAACACACTTCGCATAACCCGATGCAGTGGTCGTTCAGAAAGCCTCTCCTTGAAAAACTGAGTCTGGGCCGATTTGATATGGCACTTCGCTTGGTTGACACTCATTTCTGTACCGTCCGGCAGTAGAGAACCATCAACAAAATCAACACCGACATTGAGATTTTGTCCCACATCCTTGGCTCGTTTTAGAAAACTGTGGAATGCCTTGTTTTCGTCATGAGTCTTGACATGCTTCACAAGAGAATCATCAGGCAAATAAATGTGTGCAAAAGTGCACAAAAGAATTATATCAAGAAGAGCCCCAACGTTAATCAAACCACGTCATCCCATAATGATTGGTAAATATAAGCGATTAAGGGGAGAGCGAGGGAGGTAGGATCTATTATTTGACATGATTCTGCATTACCCAGATTGTCAGAAGGGCAGTATCCCTTGAAGCAAACCCGGGTACTCTCCCGATGTCAGTCAACAGATTGGGAGGTACGAAACCTAAGGCACCGAGAACAATGGGGAGGAGGACAACTTGGTACTTGGGATGCAAGCGTGACATTTCGAACGCGACTTCCGCATATTTGCCATGTTTTTCCTGAATCGGATCAATCACATTAGTGTCAAAAGGGACAGAAAATGTAATAATATATCATTAATGATAACCCAAAAAGTGTTGCTTCTTATTGCAGTGCTGCTTGGTATTGAGCTCTGAACATAACTCCTACTTCCTATTCTTGATTGCTGTTACATGTTGCTAGCTTTTTACCTCTGCACATAATCCTCGCAATGTTGCTTGCTGTTGACCTCTATACATATGTTGCTTGCTGTTGACATTTGTATATAACCCAAGACATGCTGCTTGTTATTGATCCCTCTACATATCCCTGGTTCATTTTCTTGTTTGCCATTGACCTATGTACACAACCCTAGTAATGTTGCTAGCTACTCTTCTCTTTACATACCCTTAGTAATGTTGCTTGCCATTGACCTCTGTCCATAACCAAAGCAGTGCTGCTGCTTATTGCAGTACAGCGTGTTATAGAGCTCTGAACATAACCCTACTTCCTATTTTTGCTTGCTATTAAATGTTGCTTGCTTTTTCACCTCTGCATATAACCCTAGTAATAGTGCTTGCTGTTGACCTCTGCCCATAACCCTAGTAATGTTGCTTGTTTATGACCTCTGCACATAACACTAGTGATGTTGCTTGCATTTTCACTTCTGAACATAACCCTATTAATGTTGCTTGCTTTTCACCTCTGCACATAACCCAAGCAATGTTGCTTGCTATTAATCTCTCTACATAACCCTAGAAATGTTGCTG